CTATGTGATATCTGAACAATCTGTGATGCTGAATTGAATGTATCCCTATTGTTAGAGAATTTTCAGATGTGTTTCCAAATGAATTACCAGGGGAATTAGTAATATGGAGAATAGAGTACTATTGAGAACTGTAGCCAGGCACCCGTCCCATTTGTAAAACTCCCTCAGAATGGCTACCGCCGAAAATGAAGAATTGAAAAAACATGCAACGACTCTGCCTGACAAGGGTTGATCCGATCCGCTAGCAAACTTGACCTTGGAGTGCAACAGTGCTGTTTGTGAAAAAAGAATGATTGAACTTTTGCGTTTGTGCATCGATTAAACCGGAGATGTGATTAAGGTAACCAAAAAGAAACAAATACCCCTACCTCCATAGTTCGGTGATTTGATTTGACCAGTTGCAGGGATCACAGGTGTTTTCTAAGATTGATTTGAGATCCGGGTATCATCAGCTGAAGGTTAAGGCAGAAGATGTTGAGAAAACCGCATTCAGAACGAGGTATGGTCATTTTGAGTTTCTTGTTATGCCATTTGGAGTGACTAATGCTCTGGCAGCATTTATGGACTTAATGAATCGAATTTTTAAAACCTACCTTGATGAGTTTGTTGTAGTTTTCATCGATGATATTTTGATATATTCTAAAGATAGACTTGAACACGAACATCATTTGAGAATTGTCCTACAAATACTTCGGGAAAGGAAATTATTTGCTAAACTAAAGAAATGTGAATTTTGGTTGGATGAAGTTGTTTTCTTAGGGCATGTGATCAACAAGGAAGGAATTTCAGTGGACCCGCAGAAAATAGAGGCAATTGTGAATTGGCCTATACCGACTAATGTGACAGAAGTCCGTAGTTTCATGGGCTTAGCCGGGTACTATAGGAGGTTTGTGAAAGATTTTTCAAAATTAGCAGTGCCTCTTACCCAATTGACACGAAAAGGGCAACCATTTGAGTGAAATGGTGAAAGAGAATCAACCTTTTTATGAATTGAAGACAAGATTGACTACTGCACCAATTTTGACGCTACCTTCAGGTACGGAAAATTTGGTAATTTTCAGTGATGCGTCTTATAAAGGTTTGGGTTGTGTGTTAATGCAGAACGGAAAGGCTATTGCTTATGCCTCCCGACAATTGAGGCCACACGAGAAGAATTATCCAACACATGATCTAGAATTGGCCGTAGTCGTTTTTGCTTTGAAAATCTAGCGGCATTATCTGTATGGAGCAAAGTGTGAAGTCTTTACGGATCACAAAAGTTTGAAATACATTTTCACACAGAAAGAGTTGAATATGCGACAGAGGAGATGGCTAGAATTGATAAAGGATTACGATCTAGAGATTCAGTATCACCCCGGGAAAGCTAATACAATTGTTGATGCCTTGAGCAAAAAGTCAATGGGGAGTATGGCTTGGTTGCTTACCGAACAGAAAGAGATCTTGCAAGATTTTGAGAAATCTGAAATTGAAGTGGTAATATGTGAACAGGGCGGATTGCTAGCCGCTATTACAGCCGAACCAGCAATCATTGAAGAAATTACACAGAAACAGAAGGAGGATAAATTTCTCAAGAAAGTGATTGATGAATTTGAGACAAGTCCAAAAGCGGAGTTTGGCATTGAAAATGAAGTGTTGAGATTTCGGAACAGAATATGTGTCCCATATATTTCGGAACTGAAGAAAAGAGTTTTAGATGAAGCCCACAGATCCGTATTTGCTATGCATCCGGGTAATAATAAAATGTATCGGGATTTGAAACAAACTTATTGGTGGCCTAAACAAACTTATTGGTGGCCTAAAATGAAGAAAGAGATTGCAGAATATGTGTCCAAATGTCTTCAATGTCAGCAAGTCAAAGCTGAACATTAGAAACCAGGCGGTTTACTTCAACCCCTCCCTATTCCTGAATGGAAGTGGGAGCATGTGACTATGGATTTCATGGTTGGCCTACCTTAGACTTCTCGAGATATGGATTCCATTCTGGTTGTAGTTGATAGACTGACTAAATCTACACATTTCCTACCAGTCAAAACCACGTTTAATGCTTATAGATTAGCTACTATTTATGTTGATGAGTTTGTCCGTTTATACGGAGTCCCGGTATCTATTGTGTCGGATAGAGATCCGAAATTTGTATCTAGATTGTGGAAAAGTTTACAGGAAGCTATGGGGACAGAACTAAGGTTCAGTATTGCATTCCACCCACAGACAGATGGGCAATCAGAACGAACAATACAGACTTTGGAAGATATACTTCGGATGTGTGCTTTGGATTTTCAGGGGAGTTAGGAAGATTATTTACCACTTGCAGAATTTGCATACAATAACAGCTTCCACTCCAGCATCGGTATTGCACTATACGAGGCTTTGTATGGTAGGAGGTGTAGATCACCTATTTGTTGGACAGAAGTTGGGGATAGAGCTTTACTTGGGCCTGAAATTGTGCAAGACACTTCTGAGAAAATCAAGATCATTCGGCAAAGGCTCAAAACAGCTCAGGACCGACAAAAGAACTACGCGGGTGTTCAAAGGAGACCTCTCAAGTATGAGGTCGGTGACCATGTGTTTATTCGTAAGTCACCATTGAAAGGCCAAGTCAGGTTTGGAAAGAAGGGCAAGTTGTCGCCCCGTTACATTGGGCCATTTCAGATTTTGGAAAGGCTCGGTCCAGTTGCTTATAGAGTTGGTTTGCCACCGAGATTTGAACAAATTCATAATTTGTTTCATGTGTCGATGTTGAGGGGTTACCTCCGAGACCCGCTTCATGTGATTGACTATCACCGGGTAGCTTTGGATGAAAATATGGAGTACGCTGAATGACCGGAACGAGTTGTTGACCGACAAGTGAAGCAACTGAGAAACAAGTCCATCCCAATGGTGAAAGTTGAATGAAAAGAACACTATGGGACGGATGCCACGTGGGAAAAAGAGGAGGAAATGCGACTACGCTATCCACATTTGTTTCCCGACGAAGGTAAACTAAGTTTGGAGGATGAAACTTCCTAAAAGGGGGAAGACTGTGGACCCCTGTTCCATGGTATGCTAATTGGTCATTAATTTGAGTATGATTATGTGATTAATATGATTTTGTATGCCATTAGGTGAATATATGTGGTTTTGAATTTCTATCTGTTCACCGTAGGAATATCTGTTTGACTATTTGCTTTGGAAATTAAATTGAAGGCCTTATCGGCCACAGAACCCGAAATTGATTGCGCCATTGTGATTGGCATAATTTTTAGAGCCTACAGTGAAGTTTAATTGAAAAATTGATTCGGACCAAATTAAATTGATTAAATTGGTGAATTAGTGCCCAACTATTTAAAATTATTAATTGTGGCTAGTGGGATTTGTTGTATTTGAGCACTACACCCTCATTTCTCTCCTTTAGCTTCATTTGGCTGATGAAAAACTCTAAGAAGAGGGAAAGGGGTCGGTTAGAGAGAGAGAAGGGAGAAACTTGTGCAATTTTTGGCTCAAGCTTGGGGATTTGAAGATTTAACTCAAGATTTTGTTGTAGATTGTGAGAATTAAGCCTCTTGGTGAGTAATTCATGAATTTTGAATTATCATCTTGCGAATTCAAGTTTGAATGATGGTTAAGAACATGGATTAGTTTGATTATAAGGAAATTTAATTGATTTTGTTGTATTGAGACCCATATGTGCATGCATGTGTATAATTGTTTTGAATATTGCATGTTTGAGCTCAAAGGGCATGATCCATGTAAATTTGTAGTTGAAGCTCATGTTTTGATTACCTTTTCATCATCTAAGTTGAGAATGAAAGTAAGAAGCCACATGCATGTGCCATTCAAAAAGGTATAAGTGTTAAATGCATGAATTTGTTATGTTAGAGTGAGTTTGATGAGAGATTGGGGCATGCATGTGATTTATTTGTGAAATTGAGCCTTATTGAGTTGTAAATTGGGGTTTATACCATGTTAGTATAATTATATCTGAGATTTGAGCCATTGCATGCAAGAAATGTTGATTGGAAGGTCGAATTGAGCTCAAAGAACAATTCTGGGTTTTCCAGAATTTTGATGTCCGCTCGAGGGGGGAATATGATGCTCGAGCGGGAAATACGTGCTCCCAGTACTTTTTGCAGACTTGGTGTCCGCTCGAGCGGGATATTTTACACTCGAGCGTGGAGCCTTGTAGACAGGCCTTCCGCTTGAGCGCCCTATTTCATGCTCGAGCTTATTTTTCATGCAACCAGTACTTTTGCAGGCCTTAAAGGTCCACTTGAGTGGGGTAGTCCACGCTGGAGCAGGGACCCTGTCTTTTGAAATTTTGTTTTCGCATTCTGTGTTTCGTTTTCCGTTCTCTTTCACTTGCAAGCACTCTTAGGCATGTGTTAAACATTGTAAATGAGTTAAAGAGATAAGAATAAAGCCTAAAGAGGAAAATGTGAATTTAGAACGGATTGAATTGTTAGTGACCCTTTTATGTTCATGGAATGTGTGGGGTCGAGCTCTAGGGCAAATCCACAAACCGATCACTGTGAGTAATATCTGAAATATGTTATTGTCCAATTGCTTACTTCTACGTAAGCTTTGTAAAGTTCATTAATGTTGAATGGTGGACAAAGTTTGAAAGGGGTGTGGGTGGGTGGGTGGGTGGGTGGATGGGTAGGAGT